GTGTGGTGTGTGTGTGTGTGTGTGGTGTGTGTGTGTGTGTGTGTGTGTGTGTGTGTGTGTGTGTGTGTGTGTGTGTGTGTGTGTGTGTGTTGTCATATTCGCTATGTGTGTTGTGTGTGGTGTGTGAGAGAGTGCTGGCAATAGACACTGCAGCTACTCGATGGGTAGGTAGTGAAAGGTGAAATTGAGAGAAGGGTATAGCGTAGTTAAAAAAAACAATGAAAAATCATCATCGAACTGACCGACCCCAGGTAATTCAGAGTTATTTTGTTCCCTGTTTCCATAAGGATTCTAAATTCGAAGGTAACTTTTCCTTTTTTTCAAAACAAAAACAAAAACATGTCCCCTCCATCCGTGAGGCCTTTCCCTGGCTCCGCCCCACCTATGCTTCCTGACAGCTATGTTTGACTTCGTAGATTTGCCCCCAGCTATTATGACTTTATTTGATTCGCAGCAATCTTATGCAAGATAGAGAGGTAAGACTGTATAATGACCGTAGATCCTTTTTTAACGAAAAGAGGACTGTATAATCACCAACCCCATGTTGTATGTACTCATTCTATGTTTATAGAGGAAGACAGGTGAGAATCTCAATCTAAATTATCTAATACAATATTTATCACAATATTTATATAATCTAACACAATATTTATTGCAAAATTCATGTATATTAAAACAATAAATAATTGTGATTGAATTAGCAATTTCATTCTAAAGTACTTGAGAGTTTCATTCATCTAGTTCCATTTGGATTCGAACTCTGGTCTTCTCAGTGCACAGAATTTCGTTCATCTAGTTCCATTTGGATCCAAACTCGGGCCTGTTTTTCAACAGTGCAATGGGTGTACCAACTGAGCTAGGCCCGTTGGTTGTGCTCAATACTTCAAATTTTGAAGAAACGACTGAGTTGGGCCAGTGTTGGCATTTAAAGAGGAGAATGAGGGACGGAAAGAAGAAAGAAGAAAGAAGAAAGAAGAAACAGGAAACACTCGTACCTTCCAAAATGAAGGAGAAATAGTGCACAAGGGGACACATGGCCTTTTGCTCAAGTTTGCTGCACAGTTCATCAGAGTTATAGTGAACAAGCACCCGGCTTTTGCAAAAAAAAAAAAAAAGAGACAGCTTTAAGATATTGAATGCATTGACAAAATATGACTGTCTTTGGCTCCAAGCGTTTCTGAAGGTAGGTCGCGAAATGGCAAAGTCATGTCAGCCTGCACGGCTGGCACTCTGATGGCATTTCAGCCTGCCACCAGTCAGCCAGGAAAGCATCAGACAAAGAGAACTCTGTATCTTAGGCCATACTCAAAGTTGACATTTCTTGTCAAAATCTGGCTGTAATTGTGGTCATATACATCCCGGAAAAAGTCCTTCCCAGCGTGAGAATGCCTCAGGCTCCGAGAACTGTTAGAGTGAACTGAAATTGCCGAGTCACGTCGGGCCACTCTGACAGCATATCAGTTGGCACATCCATCTACCGGTCAACATGGCTGTCCGCCAGTCTGTCAATGAGCATGCTGCCAGTCTGCTGGCTTTCCTGGTAGTTTGCCCATCTGTCCATCTGCAAGATGCGACTTCTGTTTGTTTCTCTGTCTTTCTGTAAGCCTGTGTGCCTATCTGCCTTCGTGCCTGTAAGCCTGACCCATATTTGTATCAGCCAGCTACAGTTTGTGCTTGATCTGTCTGCTTGTTGAGCTACTGTATGTCAGTTTCTGGTTGCCTGTGGGGCTGCTTGCCTGCTTGCCTGCCAGGCTGCTTGCCTAACTGGCTGCTTGCCTAGCTGGCTGCCAGCCTGTATGCTGTTCTGCTTGTGAGTCTGGGACTTCCCTTCTGCATGACCCGGTCATTGTAGCTGAATTTGGGGCAACTTCAGTCTAGATACAGATGTAATGACTGGGCGTTCTATGCGGGTGAAGACGGTAGGTATCAGTCTGATCGATCTGCCTGCCTGCCTGCCTGCCTGCCTGCCTGCCTGCCTGCCTGCCTGCCTGCCTGCCTGCCTGCCTGGCTGCCTGCCTGCCTGCTTGCCTGCATATCTGTCAGTGACTGGATGTGCTGCCTCCAGTCACTCCCTGCCGGTTTGCATGACTTCCCTGCCTGCCGGTCTCCTGGCTTCACAGCCAGTCTTCTGCTTGATGGGCTGTCTTCCTTGGTGTCAGCCTGACTTGCATCTGTGTATGTCTGTCTGCCTGTCGGACTGCCTGTCCAGCGGATTGCCTGACTTGCCTATTTGGTTGCCTGGTGCCAGTGCCATTTGCCTCACTGCCGGCCTTCTGCATATCTCTGTCCTCCCTGGTGCCTTGCCTCCATGTCCTGCGTGCATGTCTGGCTGTCTGCCTGCCCGCTTCGCATGTCTGTCTGTCCTCCACCCTGACTGTTTAGCAGCCTTGACCTGGCATTTGCCCGCCAGCCTGCCTGTGTGGTGATGCTGAAGCTCAAAGCGCTTTATGGAGAGGGAGATAATCTTACAGCCATGTTTGAAATTCAAGGATTCCATTCCCGCAATTGAGGGGCGACCCAAGGGCTATTTTGGTACATGAAGAAGTATAATAAATTAGTAAAACTTGTAGTACATTCCATTCCACACTTTTAATGTCACTCGGACTCACTCCACATTTCTTCTACCTAAGCCTACCTTCCAATTCTCCCCTCACCTTGTGATCTTTCCCCATTACACATCCATCCATCCCTCCATCCCTCCATCCATGCACCCATCCGTCCATCCGTCCATCTATATCCATCCATCTATTAGATGACTATCGACTGGTTCATGCATCGAACCTTGTCTGGATCCAATCACACACGATTTTCATCGATGAGTTTCGGGAGCATGTTTACACATAAGCCTGTTACTGCCTGGTAATATATTCTCAGGCTTACTAGCATTTCATTCTATCATTGTACAGCAGGAGCTCACCCAAGCTGTCGTCTTAAAAGAATAAACTGCAGGAACGTGTACATGTGCATTTACGTGAACCTGTAAGAGGAATAGTGAGTGCCACGGAGAGCGGAGCAACAGCTGTGATGTGGGAGTGGGAGTGGGAGTAGTTGGCAGTATCAGGTAATGTATTGTACAGAGCTTGGCTGTGAAGATGAGACGGGGAGAGGGCAAGGAGGATAGAAAGGACAGTCAGCAGTCAAGAGTGAAGGCTACCAATAGCAGTGCCGGAAGATAGACTCTGCTTCTTAAGCACACACGGAACCACCACGTTTAGATAGATTTCCACAGACCCGTCCCAAGCAGACACCTCTGCCTCGTTAACTTTATCATTTTCTACATCTTTTGGGTCCCACTGTTCCCAACTTGTCAACACCTATCATCTAACACCTATTGCCCCCAGCGTGAAGGAGGTCCTATCTCTCACTCCTCATGAGTCGAACACACACACACACACACACACACACACACACACACACACATGCAGGGGGGNAGAGAGAGAGAGAGAGAGAGAGAGAGAGAGAGAGAGAGAGAGAGAGAGAGAGAGAGAGAGAGAGAGAGAGAGAGAGAGAGAGAGAGAGTAGCGATCCGCATCTTTCAAGCTGGGCATTTGTCATGAACTTGCGTGTGAAGGGTGTTTTGAAAGGAGCTGGGCTGTTCTCTGCTTATCTGTTGTCGCCAATGTAATCCATTTCCTAGCGGAATTGTTGTACTGTTCAAAGCCATCACTGCTTGCCATCAAAGTCTTCATCAAACCCAACTTTCTGCAGTTCGTCGGTGGGTCCCCTTGTAGAGACGTCTGTTTCTGAGCCCTCTTCAAATCTTCTGTTGGTGATTTGACTCCGTTCTGATCTCTTGCCACCTTCTGAAGAATGGACTGACTTTTTCTCTGAAGCACTGCCAGGAGTTTTCGGGTATCCTCCTCTTGGAGACGATGATCCGTCCACTTGCCTTGTCTCACTCTGTTCCTCAGCGTCCTTAAACTCGCTCTCCTCTCCATCACTCGAAGCTTCCACCTCCGAATAACCACCGAACAGATCCTGCTGTCTTGTGGAGGCCTCTGATTTCTCTCCATAGTGGTCGCTTTCACTCCAGTTTCCATTTTCCATCCTTCTGCCAGGTGTCTTTGCCTGTCGCTGAATCAACACCGTCCGTCATGGGTATAGTCACAGTGTTAATGATGCAGAATAGGTAATGAGAGATGGAGGCACAAATGCTGCTGCTGCTGCTGCTGCTGCTGCTGCTGCTGATGATGATGATGATGATGATGAGGATGAGGATGAGGATGAGTTTGAGGATGAGGTGAGGATGAGGATGGCAATGGTGGTGGCAGTGGTGATCATGGTGGTGATCGTGGTGGTAGTGGTGGTAATGATGGGGATGGTGTGATGATGGTGATGATGATGGCAATAGTGAGGAGGGGGAGCAAGATGGTAAAGATGAGGATCACAGGCACATCACATTACCTCAAATATTGGCAGGGGTCACATAAGGATTGATAAGGGCAAGGAGCAATATGACAAGGATGTGAAACCACAGCAGAGGATGAGAGGCAAAGGGGGGCAAACGGGGGTGGGTGGAGTACAGAGGGTGGGGCAGGGTTGAAAGAGACCAAATGAAAGTGATTGTTGTGACTTCTGCACACAAGATCTTTTACTCATCAGTCAAAAGAGAGGAGGGCAAAAGATGGTTCTCTTTTGTTCGTTGAAAAAAGAAAAAGAAAAAAGAGAAGGAAGGCAACGTTTAGGGTGAGCAACATGAGGATATGTTAGTGTTCATTTGAGAGGGTTCTCCACCCCCCCTCCCTCCCCATTTGAGAGGGTGTTTGCTGTTGTTTCATTGAAATCAAAACAATATTGAAAATTTGGCAGTGAGTGAGAGACACTATTGACCAAAGCAGTTCATGTTAAACGAACTCTTCTCCTGATGATTCAAATGCACTTTCTTCTTTTTCCAATCATGGATGCACTTTTTGCCAATTTTTGATGAAGTACTACGCAAACATTGCCATTGTAGTAGCCCACATGTGTGAATGGCAAAGACAGGAGAGCGCGTGTTGGCATGATCTCCACCAAGCTGTTTGTGAACGACAAAATCAAGCCGTGTGTGTGAGTGGGTGCTGTGTATGTGCGTTCCCAATGTAATGACCTGCCAAAAACACAGACTGAGAACACAGCTGATTTCTGAGTTTTGCTGCTGGAATGTATGCCTTGCTGAGATTCCCGCATTCTGCTGAGTTTTCTAAGTCTGTGTGTGTGCGTGCTTGCCGGTTCGTGTGCCTGTCTGAGTGCTTGTCGGCCTGAGTCTGTTTGTATTCCCGACATGGCACTTGTTTGTTTGGGAGGCCCGTGCGGCCGTGGCCGTGACTTTGAGGGTTGAAGCAGGGAAAAACACTCAAGTGGCCGAAGGGGTAGATTAGGGCACACTCAAGTAGCGTAGTGTCGGCACCGGTAGCACTTGAGTAGTGGTAGGCCGAGCAGCAGAAGACAAAAATTTTGTGCTTTTAGAGGCCCGGTAGCGGTAGGCCTAGAGTTAGGCGGGTACCAGTCCAAGTAGCCTGAGTCTAGGGCCTGTGCGGACGATATCAGAGCCTGCAATGATGTTTCCCTCCGAAAGGGAGGAGGTACCGGTTGCTTGGAGACCGCACGGCCTGAAAGTCACGGCCAAGAGGCAGGTTGGCTGCTATATCTCCAGGAGGAGCGAAGTGCTCCTCCTCATTTGTGGTATGCAAGTTTGGGCGTCATGCTGCTTGCACGGTCACCGGTTCTCAGAGCTCTGCTGGAGGAAGAGCGCTGGGTGAAGCAGCGCTAGGGAGGAGGAAGAAGGCCGGGACCTCCAACCTCAGCTATGGTGGAGCATCGCTGGTAGGAGGAGGAAGAAGAAGAAGGGGACAGAGGAGGAGAGTGGCGAGGTACTTACCTGGCTATGGTGGAAACCATCTTCATTACCTTGTTAGGCGCTTCATCTGGAATGCCCCAGTTGGGGTAGTGCTGCACCAAGAAGGCTTCAAGGCAGAGTCAGGCATGGCGGCCTGAGTAGCCGCGGACATAGCTGCCTTGCGTTGTCTTTTGCACGTCAGGGCTAGGCCCTTAGTAGTCCGCCATAGCCTCGGCCTGGTTGAAGAGAAGGAAGAGGGAGGCTATGGCTTTATGGTGGACCTCTGGTTATGCCAAGCAGAAGAAGAGGGATTCAGACATTGATTCTGGTTCAGCCCTTCACCGTTATTATTATTATTATTATTATTTATTGTTTGAATGAGAAAGGCAGAGATAAGGAGGAGTCGGGTGGCGAAGAAGGGGGATTTATCATTGATCTTTTTCTGGTGTACATCTTCTTCTTCTTACTTTTTTCTTCTTCTTCTTCTTCTTCTTCTTCTTCTTCTTCTTCTTCTTCTTCTTTACCTCTCTCTCCTCTCAAGTTCATTCATTTCTTTTGCAATTGGATGGCATTGTACGTTGTCGTAAATTTGCACTTCAAAATTGGCCAGGATCATAACACCAACTTCTAATTGCAATCGCACACTCATCCTTCTCCACTTGTACCGTTCTTCACCTACCCCCCATTTCCCAATATCCTCATTCTCCATTCTACCGTATTCTCTCGCATACTTCTCTTCCTGATAAGCTACTGAACCTCTCCCCGTCAGTCTGACGAGTCAATCACTCTCGCATCTATCTTCTCTTTGCACACAACACAACACCCTGTCACGCGCCCCCCTTCCCTTGCCCCTGCCTACTACGAATCGAATGGTTTGACTCTTTTCTTGCAGCAACCTATGATGTCTCGTCCTTGGTATCTTTCTCAGCCTGACATCCTGCGCCGAGCCGGCACTTCCTCCCCTCTTTCCTGAGTGGAACCTGTCTCTGTTCACCTATTGACAGATCAAAGGCACATCGATTCATTGGTGTTCAATTTATTTCTTCCGTGACTCTTTTATCCAGTAAACAGATTGATGGCTGATCATGCTTCAGGCAACAAATTGATTGATCACATTCACACTGTCGACTTGCCCACCATTAGCGCTGCATAGTGGCCTACGGGTGACCACCAACGCATGGGCGTTTCGCAAATCAGTATCAGCTATCAAGCTGGTTAGTATTACTGTGACTCGGAATACGCTTGATTTTTAACGTCTTAGTAGAAATCCTTCATCCATTTGACAGCATCACGTTTTTCACCAAATGGAGTCCTTCAAAACAGCAAAAAGCAGTGAGTGATTGAAAGAAAGAATGAATGTGTGTGTGTATGTGTGTGTGTGTGTGTGTGTGTGTGTGTGTGTGTGTGTGTGTGTGTGTGTGTGTGTGTGTGTGTGT